ATTTCATGCATAATTCATCAGCAGTCCAACACCCTAATAGCATCAAAATACCCAGGACCCTGAAATGGTTGACTGTGCCTCCAAGCATGGGATGGGGGTCACTCTTATCTCCCTGAATATCTCATCATGGAGTCTTTTCCTGTGAGAAGCTAACAGCAGTGATTCATAGTTTCCAAGTTCTGTTGGGCTTCCCAAGGACAAATGGCAGATCTGGAAAGAGCCAGAAAGCTCCCAAGAATTTCATCAAGGGTAACGAACCATGAGACTTCCCTTAGGGGTAGTCACCTGAGAACTTTGGTTGTTCTAATTCTGCAAAGGCCATATTAACCTGTTGCTTTCAACTGGGTTGTGTTGTATATTTAAATCATTTCTCAGAGGATAAAGTTGCATATTGACATACCCCAGTAACTACAATTCCTGAATCTAAGCCAAAAAACAAGTTTGTGCAAATGGAGATGAAAAGTCATGGACACTGGAAATTTCTGACTAGATGGAAAATTCTGGCTTGTATGTCAGAATATTCAGAAAGAATCTTCTCTTAGAAGTAAAGGTGGTTCACATGTATCTAACCAGAAAGCAATGTTTACAAAGCACCCTACCCACAGGACACAGCACAGGGCAGATGCACATGGGCCAAGATGGATTCTGTTGCATCCTGGGAAAACATTTCAGGAAAATAACAACAAACTCCTTTGAGTAAGAGCATGTTGTTAGGAGAAATGTTAATTCAGATTCAGATCTTTGAGCAAGTCACTGTCTCCTATGGGCCTCTGTTTTCTTCCTTTGTACAATGGATGAGGGGGACTCAACGATTGTTTAAAATGAGCATTTCAGTGCTATGTTTTTTAATGGGGTGATGTTGGGTTGGGTTTTGTATTTGACAGCTAGAGCTCTTATAGGAGTTTTTGAGCTACTTGGGGCAGAGCATCTTTGGATTCTTGATGCTTTTCAAATTGCCTATTTCTGCACCATAGTGGGTTTCTTCTTCCTTTTTGTTTGAAAAGAATTTAGGAGTTGTGTGTGTTTGTGTATCTCTCTGTGTGTGTGTGTGTGCATTGTTCCTTTTCTTCTTTGTTAGAAGATTCTGACAAGGCAATGGAAAGATGCCCAATACTCTCCCTGAACATCTCAGCAAGGATGGCTTAGGACCATCCTAGCTGGAGCAAGTGCACCCAGCACTCCTAGGACCCCTTGGCCCTCTTTACCCTAAAGATTACTTTTTGTTTACTATTAACTTTTCTAAGGATCTACCTCCATACATTTCCACATAAATTCCCTGCATTTTTTAAAATGAAGATTCTTATTTCTTTGAATTCTGTTTTACTTCCCCAATTTCCACATTCCTATTTGTTCACGAAGATTTCTGAAACACAAAATCCAGCCAACCATTTCGCTCTTTCAGAGCAGAGCTAATATCATTCATGAATCGTTTCTATTCCAGGAGGCAGACTGGGAAGACCTAGGCTTCTTTTCTCTTCACCTTTGGCTTAAGCTACATCTGCAGAGTTTTGTACTTTCTTTTCCCAATCTGTAAAGTAGAAATGGTCTTCTTATTTGTAAAAATAAATCTAGTTTTTTTTAAATGAAGGTATATGGTCCCTGTGCTTTGTTACCCTATCACTTCTACCTCTGAAAAAGCCCAGCCAATATAGGGAAAAAGAGAAGGCAGTGAATATCCAAAGAAGCCATTAAAGTCAATCATCCTGTCCAATGATCCCAAATTAGCTATTGGGGGAATTTGTTGATCTCTGTGCTAATAATTCATTCAGTAGTGACTTGAGCTCGCCACATGATGCTTATTCTGGCATATTCTCCTCGGGTTTTACATAACCTATGCTGGAATCATTCTGCGTCGCTGTCAGAACCTCAAAAGTCAGTTAAGCTCTAGGGACAAAGGTTGCCTTACAGTGGCTAGCCTGAAGTCCATCAGGAATTAAACTATGGTTATTTTTCCAGACACTCTGGACTGGAGGGCCTCACCATGTATTTCAAGGCCTATAACCCCACTTGCAAAGTGAAGGAAGAAGGGGTGGATTGAGTCAGATAGATCCAAGTCTGAATCCCAGCTCTTCCGTGTACTACCTGTGTGTCTTGGGCCAGAGTCTCTCAAACAGGGCACACTGAGGGAGTGTTATGTGTCCCAAGAAGATGATCCCCTCAGTCTCAAAGGTCAGGAAGTGCCGAGACAGTGTTCCCCAGGTGCGGCAGCCTCCAGGTTCATGGGTCTGCCTCATGAGCACCATCAGGTTCCCTGCAGCCAGGTGAGGAAAACTCAGAAGGCAGAATCAATTTCCCTTTACCTCCCTGCTGAGGGGGACTGAGAAGTGTGGCTGCTCAGTGATCCCCAGGAAAGACTCAGCCCAGAGTCTAACCTTAGGCAGGGCAACAACCGGGCACTGAATGGTAGGAGCAGAAACAGTTTACAGGGGGTTCTGCTTTCAGCAACTCAGTTATTATTGCTGACTATCTTGGCTCTAGGCTACCATATTAAGGAGCAACACATTCTTTGCCCTGACTCCTACAGCAGGGGTGACACTGTGGTTTAGCATAGATTCATAAATAAGATTGACTACAGATCCAAGACAATGCCTCATGTAAGACCCAAGCACCCAGGGGTAAAAGACTCAGGCTGAGACATGTCACTGTGCTGAAGCCTCACCTTATCCTGTAACATGAGTGCATTTCATTGGTGTGGAAAAGAGGAGGAGGCATTTGAGAAGCCAGTTCCCTTCCCTACATAACCCTCACTATCGTAACATCTAGGGAGCATACTAGCTTATCTCTCTTAGGGCACCATGGTCACGTGAGGGTTAAATGAAAAGAAAATGCTCTTTGCCATTCAAAGTACATTCATCATGTGAACACTGGGGACATTGCCGCATCTCAGGCTCCACTTTATCCTCACCTGTCCCCTTCCACAGCCAATCAGCGGCTAGATCTTTACCTCTTGGTGATCTTCTGCCTGGTTTCCCTGGCAACAGTCTAACCCTACTCAGCCCACCTTGCACTTCACAGATGAGCAAACTTGCCACCATGTAACTAGGATCTTACCATGGTCCCCCACTGCCTTGCAGATACTGCTGAGCTCCTCATGTGTCACACATGGGCCCTTTATCACCTGCATTTTGTGTGTGCTCATCACCCACTCCTGTCCCCACTGGGTACCATCCTGCCTGCCCAGGGCTTTTAGGATCACGAGTCCATGAAGTCTTCTATAGGCCAAGTACAAAGCTCTGCCCTGTGCATTTAGCAATTATCCCTCCACTACACTCTTGTGTAGCAGTCCCTCATCATCATGGCCTTCAGGCACATACCCCTCAACTCCAAGTGTCAGATCACCACAGCAAAGCACAGTGAGCAATTAAAAGCATTTGCCAGGCCATTCAGTTTCCTAGGACCTAGCATAGCTCCAAGAACATTGTGTTTGTTTATTATAAGCTTGTCAGAAGGCAAACAAAGAAAAAAGTATGCATAATATTAATATGAATGAGAAGGACAAAAATGAAGAGAAGAAAGACAACAGTCATCATCAGCATTTTACATTGCACAGCAAAGAGGAGTTAAATAAATCCAGGATCAAGCTGCTGAGACTATAAACAGCTCCAGAGAGGGCTCTATGAGAAGTCTATGAGAAGGAATTAGGAAGCCATCAATCCATGGATGCCACAGGGCAAGGAAAAGGCAAAGCATGTGAGTCACAGCTGAATCCTTGGGAAATCCCTGAGCCATGAAAAGGTCCAGGGTATGTTTGTGACCTAGTACAGAAAAATATCTTGCAGAGAAAAGTAAAGGGTCATGCATGGAGAATTTTGAGTCTCAGGTCTCCAGAGGAAAGCATGCTTGGCTATTATAAGCAACTTATGTTAAAATTCTTTAGAAACTCAGAGCAACCCAAAAGCTACCAATAGTATCAAAGTTCCAAAAACCCTTCACAAACAGTCCATATACTCTGCTTCTTTTTAAGTTCAGCCTTGCACTTAAACTTGGTTTGCTTCCTTAAGCAGAAAGAAATTCATCTTCATGACTTATCAAACACAAGAGAGAAAAGACTTTTCTGATGGCCATACTTTTCCAGGTGCTCTCATCTCCACTAGACTTTTAAAAGCCGAAGTGGACTTAGAATATATTTACACAAAACACTGTAGAGGAATGAAATGCAAGTAGAGACCTTGGCCAAAGGGAACCCTCAGAGACTGGGCTGCCCCTCCAACACAAAAGTGTCTAGCAAACTCTTGTTTACCCAACCACTATATTTTGGTCCATTTTCTATGCCCAACCAAAGGGGGAAACTCCATTTTTTCTAATTGAAAAAGTTGCAGATTTTCTAATTTGCCAAATGCAAAAGATTAACTTCTTTTGAGCAACTATGCCCTATCTATAAGATATAGATATTTGTAAAAGGAGCTCCATGCCTGTCAGAGCATAGGGAAATTGTTGACATCACTGTCACAAAGCATTTGTCACAACAATATTTAGGAAGCTGAACAAGTGTTGAGAAATCCAACTGCATTCACTTGAAATGGTGCAAAATTCTATAAAGTGCTGTCAGGAAATGGAGTGAAGGTAAACAAATGTTTTACTAACTTGCCTTTTCCAGATAAAACTCCATGTTAGACCCCACTAACTCTTTTATTCTCTACTATAAAGATGAATAAGGCTCAAGAGATGCTGGAAGTACTCCATCAGACATAGAAGAGCTATACACATGGCTGCTGCAAGAAGACTTTGGAACCAAGTGTGTTGCAACCAAAGATTTTAATTTCCTTCCATCTGCAGGGCTGTGAAATGGCCCAGGGAAGGCAGGGTGCAGCTCAGAGCTAATAATCACGTGTAACCAGCAGATCAGGAGCATCCGGTGAATGAATTAAAACCTTGCATTTATCCCCTGGGAGTGGATGGACAAGTCTGTCTAGATTTGAGATGAGGAAAACAGGACTGAGTTTCCCCAAGCATTAACTCCTGTTTTCTATAAAGAGACAATGAGGCATTTCTCCCCTTACCTTGTGGATTGCCAGTGCAAATGTAGAGACAAAACCTCATTTTCTTGATTCCCAAAGAAGCAGCCAGATCCTTGATGTGAGCAAGTTCTTGAACTTTTGATCCAAGAGTTTGGGTGCCTCAGGTGAGGGTACTTGGGGCCCTGTTGGTTTTTATGAGTCTGTGGGTCAGCTCAGACCGGCTGTTGACTCATCTGTATTCAACAGCTCTCAAAGAACATAGTTTACTTTATAACCGGATCCAACAAGAGTAGGCGTGGCAGTTAAATGGGCTAGATACACCAAAGGTGTTGAGCTGCCAAGTCTAATTAAGAAAGATTTGTTTATGGAGCCAAGGTTTGGAACCAGGGGGCCATTGCACTCATGCTCATGGGGACTAAATCAAATGCCTGAGATTGGGCACGTGCGCACAAGGGGCTAGATGCTCCAAAGTGAGGAACCAGGGGTCCTCGAGGAGCCCTCCAAAGTCTTACCTGCCTGGGGACTAAGTCAACAATCCCAGAATGCCAGGCTGACCTAGCCTCCATTGGCCCTTCATTTGTCACTCCAGTCATAGGACAATGTAGAATTTTGTAACACAGGTTTTGCAGTAGACAGGCAGGGTTGAGACCCTGTTCCACCAACTGCATTACCCAGAGCAAATTACCTAGCTTCTTGCCTAGTCTGGGAAGTCTTGGTGGGAGGTAAGTGAGATGATGTGGGCAATGCACCTGCCGTCAGTAAACATTGCTGAAACTGAATGTGCTCCACTCCCTAGAGTCATCTCCCCATAGTTCCTACTGGGACAAAGGAGTTTTCATCTTCTATCCCTTCTGAATGGCTCTCTTCCCACTGTTCCCCAGGCCACAATGTCCTCTACAAACCAGCGTACTTCAGGACTGGTTACCCTCCAGAGCATCTGAAAATAGTCCTTAGGAAGCTGCCATTTCACATGCAGCAGCAGCAGTGGGTGAATATGGTGGGCAGGCATTCCTTTCCTCTCTGATGATGGGAGATACCAGCCTTTACTCGAGAGTGGGAAATGATGCAAAGAGCAGGAGAAACATCCAAGTGGCAATGTAGCTTGGAGACCAAATGCCGAGGATTCTGACACCACTGCCTTCCACAGGAGAAAGGATACATCATGATGTTCACAGTGAGGTTAAAATGGAAATTGATGCAAAATTACATGGAGAAGGAGATTCTAGTTTCAAACACTTATAAATATAGCCAGTTGTTAAAGAGAAGAAAAAAAAAAATATATATATATATATATAGTAGGTTGCTATGGTCTCAATGTTGAAACAACTGACAACGTAAAACTTGTAAGTGGTAGGGCCTTTGGGAGGTAAATAAGTCAAGAGAGAACAGCCCTCAAGGATGGTATTAGGACCCTTATAAAATGTTTTTTGATGGAGTAAGTTCACTACCTTCTGCTGTAAAAACACAGCACTCATCCCTGCTTTACACCATGTGAAAACTCAGTGTTTAAGGCACCATCTTGAAACAGAGACTGAGTGCTCACCAAACATAGAATCTGCAATTGCTTTGATCTTGGACTTCCCAGCCTCTAGAACTTTCCAGTCTGTAAAACAGTGAGAAATGAATTTCTATTGTTTGACAAATTTTTCAGTCTCACTTATGTTATTATAGCAGCACAAACTAAGAAATAAGTGGAAGAAAAACCACTACAGTAGCATTTCCCATGTGAAGTTTGATTGATTATAAGAGAACTTACCAGGAAGCAGCAACAAGAGAAGAGATTTAAAGCTTGTACTAAATATCAACTTTATTTTCCATAGAAGTCCTCCTCCTGGAAACGCCAGTTCCCAACCATTGCTACCTGTCCCTAGATTTATTCCTTTCTCCAAAAGTACTTCCTTTTTCAAACCCCACTGCATGACTCTCTACTTACCTTTCCAGGTCTCTCAAGTCCACCCAGCGGGATACTCCCAAACCCCAGATTAACCCCACTCCCTCTCCAAGCAGTTCACCTCCCCAGTCTGGGTGTGGGGGCCACCAGAATACGCCCTGCAGACCTCCAAATGCAAGGAGAGTAAGTGCTCAAGGGTCCTAGCTATGGCACTCTGAAGTGACCAAGCACAGAAGGATGCTAAGCTAGTCACTTCCATGAGAGGTGGGCTCTTCTAAGGGTGATTTGGGCTAGAGAACTTCTGCAGGGGAAGTGAAATCTTCCTTAGACTCATCAGAGGTCTAGAACATTCCTGCAACCTGCCCTCCCTCTCTCCTTCATCCAGGGTCAGACCTGGGTGACATTTACTTCTGGCTTCCTGCCAGTTTCTCTCACCTGGGCATTTGGCCTTAATCTTTGCACTTTTAATGCTGTCTTTATGTCTCCTTCTTGTAGGACCTAGACTTGCTTATTGAGTTATTCAGGCCAGATGGGAACTGTCATAGAGGTTAGTGGAACAGATAATGGGATCCCACAGAATATCTCAGAAAAAGATTTTCATGATCCAATGTCCAGAGCAGCAGTCTCAGGAGTTAGATCGCCTGCCTCCCCCTACCAGTGTGAGCTGTGGGGATCTTTTCATCCTCCCAGTTATCCAGCTGATGACTGTGCATGTGCAAATACACATACAAACAGCAACCTCTCAAATGTGAACCTTACTTCTCAGAGGCAGTACAGAATAGATACCAAATGAGGAAGATAAATGCTTTTGGAACTGCCTTATTCATTTGCAACACAGGACACCTCTTGCACAATGACATCTGTATATCTCATTATTATGCAGTCCAGGGAGTGATCTTACCTCTGTCCCCCACCTACTACATGCTCCCCCCACCACTTCAAAACTAGTCCCTTTTGTACCTGCCAGGAATGAAAAAGAGGCCTGTTGCTAGGCAACCGGGAGGGCAGGGCTGATGCATTCTTTCTATTCCACAAATCTTGGTGATAATGAGCAAGTGAAGACATTTGACCTGAAGGATAGTTTCGCCTTCTGTAAAACCAGTGTGATTGTTTTCTTCATCTTTCCTCTTACCTGTGTGTTCATGGAGAAAATCTGTTCAGGTTCCAACCTGTCTGCTGCTTTATCACCTCTATGGTCAAAGAGAAAGGCTGGGTCCTTTCTGGAGCAGCAGTTGGTGGCAAAGTGAGGGACAAGGCTCTCTTCTTCCCCTCCACCTCTCCCTTTCCCCTCCCCCAGTCATCCTGGTCCCCTGTGGCAGGCCACACTGGCATGCTGACAGGGAGAGAATCCCTATGCATCCACCTGGAGTCTCTTCACCTCTGCATGAGGTGAAGGTAGGGGGATTAAGGTAGGGGGAGTGACTTTCTTTATTTTCCTTAAAGAATTTTGCAACATTTCAAAAAAATATTGTTTTATTCATGACAAAAATTCCTACAGGAACCATTTTGTTAAACCAAAAGGCTTAGAAGTGCCTGTCTGATTTGGGGGGAAACATGACATTTCTAGTCATACAATGAAGAGAGTATGTGACAGGTTCTAGGGGACAAGACCCCTGGAGCAGGTGCAGGGGGAGAGGGCAGGGAAAGCAGGCAGGACTTTGCAAAGCAGAACCAAATTCTGGGTCCTGGGGAGTGAGAGGTGTGTGGTGGACAACCCAGGTGAGAACAGCCAATCCCAGCAAAGCTGCAAGTTCTTCCTGTTCTGAAAGAGGAAGGGGGGAAATTCATAAGGAGTGAGCTCCAGGTCTGTGCTAGGAATTTACATACAGCATAGTGGCTCATCCTAGTCACTTTTGAAATGTGCAGGATTTTAACCAATGTGCAAACAGGAGCGACCAAAAAAATTGCTTCTGGGTACATATTCAGTGTGTGATCAAGCTGGGGTTCAAATTCAAGCCTAATGGTGATAAGGACGTATTCCTCAAATATTTCCTCACAGCGGTGATTATAGACAAGCTGAACAAGATATGAGTGAAGGAAGAGAGATCTGAGTATTTTTCCTGCTTTTGCTCCAGTTAATTAAAAAAAAAATGTTAACTATAGATTTTTGTGGTACCATATATTTTCTATACAAAGTCCTGGGCTCATCATTTTGGGAATCAGGGAAATATTTTGAAAGAATCTTAAGATAAAACGTGGGGGACTAAATACATATTTATTTTTGCTCTTCAACAAAAATGGGAGGAAAGGAACCCAAAATAGAAAAAATCCGCAAAAAAGAAAGTATGAAAAGAGACAACAGCAGTCAAGGGGTTTTTACAAAATTTAGGAAACTGGAAAACAACTAAAGAGATCAGAGCTGCAAAAACTGAACCCAGGGCCCATGGAGGAAGAGATACGCCAAGAGCAAGCTGCAAGCTCTTAAAAGCTGAGGATTAGAAGGGACCAGGCACCTCTGAAGCCAGGACTGATGTGTTGGGCCTGAAACAGGAAAGTTAGTTGAAATTCTTCATAGGAAACAGGTTTCCAAAATTTGAAGTTTACTCTGGAGAAAATCTGAAAGAGTGTGAATTTGGGTACTTCAAACATATGAGGTGACAAACATATGAGGTGACAAGGCCCAATAATGCAAACCAAAGGTGGTTGTGTAAAAATCTGAATCCCTTAAATGGGATACTCAGAGCTCCTTTCTTCTACTCAGCCCTCAGGTAGGTGCCTGACCATTGCCATGCAGGAGGAGGGCTAAGTTCTCTCTGGGAAAACTCAATGGGCAGAGAGGAAAGACCTCTGATACCTGAAGGTCCCTCCATCTGGCAAGATCAAATGTAGCCTCTCTCTCTCACCACTACCAATGAGCTTGTTGGTGCCATTCTCTTAAATGGCAGGCAGTCAAGGGTCATTAGGCAATCGAGGAAAGAACATAAAAGAGAAAAATCCAGAAAAAGATATAAAGGGAATCTGGAATAAACAGAAACAAATCAGGTAGTAAAATGAATTTTTTAAAACCCACACATCTTTCCACAGAAGAGATGATATTATAGTCATGAAACAAGAACAGGAAGCTAGGGGAAAAAAAGATTTACAAAATGAGAAAGAATAGAAACAAATAATTGTAAAAAGCCTAGAAACTTTCCAGGATTTTTTTTAAGGACCAATGATAAGAAAGAGGGGATACAGAAATGCGGCACAGAAAGAAAAGATAAATGGGAGATACTTAGCATCCAGATAAAGGCTGACCTCAAACTGGAACCAGTGGAACCCTTCTCAGCCTCTCTTCCAAGATCATACTCCTGTAGGCTGCTCCCAGCCACTGAGTGAGGCAGGGGGACCATGTTAGGCCAGTTTCTGGGAGAGATGAGACTATCAGACAGTTTGATTTAGCTCAGGGATGGCAATCTACTAGAAGGTATTCTCTCCAACCTTCCTCCTTTCCCTCTCTTTTTCATAGGATTCAGACTTGCTGCCCCATTCCCCAATGTTTCCTAGGTCCCACCCAGTATCCAATCACAGTCATCCTCCTTCACAAAGTCCTTTCATCCTGCTCTGGCACCTGTTTCCTGGAGGACCCAGTATAGTCCTTACAAGTTCCAGAATTACTGGAAAGACAGAGGGAACAAATGTTGTCATCCTCAGAACTAAAATCCATGAATTCTAAATTGAAAGGGTCCACTAAGAACCCAGAAAAACAACCAAAAAGTTTAAAACACCCACTTCAAAGAAATTTTATGAAATTTCAAAACATTGGAGATAAAGCAAGAGATATATATTGCACACAAATTATTAGGAACAATTATGAACTCAAAGGGCTTCTGAATCCCCAGGAGCAACACAAGATACTACAAAAACCACTGGAGGAATTCTAAACTGATATTGTGAGGAAAACTGATTCTATACATAATTTAAACCCTCAACAAATGTGCAGGTAGATCAAAGACAATTTCAGAGATACAAGATTCAAATGTTATCTCTTCTAGGAAATTACTAGAAGATGCCTCTGCCAAACCCAGAAAATGGGATACAAGAAATCCCAGATATATGGACCCCAATACAGGTGAGAAGCAAAGAGGCTTGCTTACATGATGAGGAAGGACCACCTCAGAAGACATATGCCCAGCCAGCCCTGAGGACAGCCAGTACAGAGGAGGGGCTGCCTCTCAGGGACAATGGGATAGATCAAGTTGCCAATGATGATGTTAAAAGGAGATTTATGGTTTTGAAGATTTCCACAATGAGTCAATAATAGATGCACAGAGAACTAGGTAAATGAGAAAACTGTTAACCTCACTAAATATGAATATGTATAAAGGGAAGAAAATATATTTATCGGGCACTAACTTGATTCAGCTATGAACACTATTTATTGAGTCTTAATAATAATAAACATTAAGTATTGATCCAACACATTTTTTATATAGCTATATAGGGAGGATGGAAAGAAGGGAACTGTCATATGAATGGGGCAAATGAGAGCATTTTCAAACTTTGTACATATACTACTGTAATAAAAATGGAATAAATTTGAAAAGCACAATTTCTTTTTGTCTTTGAAGAATTTAGAATGCTTTTAAGCAAAATGGAGCAAGTACAGAGACAGTGAATCTCTATTGTTATGGTTTAGATCTGGAATGTCCCACAAAGGCTCATGTGTTTGGTCCCTAATGTAGCAATGTTCAGAGGTGGGGATTTGGGGAAGTAGGTGGCTCATGAGGGCTCTGATCTCATTAATGGATCATTGATGGGTTCATAATTGAATGGACTATTTGGAGGTGGTAGAAACTGGAGGAGGTGGAGCCTCTTTGGAGGAAGTAGTCATTTCTGGCATGCCCTAGAATGGCATATTTGTCCCCAACTCCTTTCTGTGTCTCTCATCTCTGCTTCCCCACTGCCATGAGGTGAGCAGCTCTGCTCCACCATACTGATACTCTGCTTCAACACAGACCTAAACGCTATGGAACCAGTTAGCTATGAAATAAAACCTTTGAAATCATGAGCCAAAATAAAACTTTCTTCCTTTAAGTTTGTTTTTCTTAGATATTTTGTTTCAGCATTGGAATGCTAACTAATACATCTGTCATTTAGAAGGAACCTCTGACCTCCCTTGAATCAAAACTCCTAGATCCCAGGAAGCTGTCACCATCCTTCCCCAGGTAAAAATGTTTCCATAACTAACTCAGAGTGTCTTTATATGCTTTTGGGTAGATAGAAAGTTGGACAAATCCTCAATTTACTGCTGCTATCATTACTCATCTTTGGGCATCTCACCCCATTTTCTCCCATATGACCCTTCTAAAGTTGGCCTGAAGGTAAAGCCCTTTTTCAGAAACGTAGTGCCAAAGCTGATGCTCAGTATTTGGATCATATAGGTGTGATTTTTTTTTCTATTTAACTCTCGCTGAGAGAGAGAGGTTCCCAGAGATGTGGGAAACATCTCTGGCAGCCACATGCCCTACAGTCAGACAGGAAAAGCCAAGCAACATGCATAGCAAGACTTACTGATGTGTGACTTCATCACCACAGTATCATGCACTTTGCAAAACTGTCATATTGACATATTCAATTCATATTCAAGCGCAGTTAGACAGAGTTGAAATCTTTATTTCATCTAGATACAAATTTACAATCTGTCTCCCATTTGTAACAAGATTTCCCAGGCTGCCTATGGATGGTGACCGCCACTGTGAGTGTCCCTTCTTTGATTTAGGGAGAGCAGCAATGGAGATTCCACTGTGGGCAAAACACATCACCCACAGGCCTCCCCACTCCTAAGTGGGATAGGACAGAGGGACTCTGTTGGAATAGGTTCTTTCATCCTTGAGCTTGATTATCCTGGGAGCCAGTATTTAGTCAGGGGTGAGAGTAAAATCTGAAGATAATCAGATAATCTACTGAGATGATAGGAAGGAAAGAACATTGCTACTCTACATGTTTCACAACTGAAAGGTTTTGAGAAAGCCATTTGCAAAAAATGAAATGCTTTCCCTCTAAAATACTGTTAGCCATTGAAGATGAAAGCATATCACCTTGTGGGAAATTCTAGGTTAAGGGGCTTTTTAAAAATAGGTAGGATCACATGAAGGGAGGATTTTGATGATTACATTTGGTTAGTCCAGAATTTGTTGAGGGCCTTACTAAATAAAAGACATCATGATAACCACTTTGGGAGTTGCAAAGATGAGTACAACATGGGCTTTGCCCTTCAAGAGTTTAACATTTTATAGAGGAGAAGAGAGTACAAACAAAATAAGGTGTAAGTGCACAGGAAGTGTGGTGCATACATAGAAAGAGGAAGTTGGTTTGGGCTGGAAAACTGGGAGTCCATCATATTCAGACTGGGCACTATAGAAGGCAAGAATTACAACAGGTAGTCTTGGAAGGTGGCGAGTGGGAGAAGCAGCAATGGGTCAGAGTGCAAAACTAGAATAGCGCAGTAAGGAATGGCAGTTCAAAAGAAGAAGTGCTGATAGATGAGGCAGAAGAGCAGGCATGGACAAGATGGTGGAGGGACTCCCTGCACCCATGGGTTCTTACTTTTGAGATCCCTAGTCATAGGCCCTGTTGTGTCCTTCTGAGGAGAGGAGAAAGTCCTGGAATGCAGTAGCAGTGGTTGTCTCCATAAGCTGATGCTAACCATTTTTCTTTGTTTTCTATTTTCTGTCTTGAGGAATTTTGTCATGATGCACCCAGAATTTTATATTTACAGATTTTATTTCCTATTTTGACATCTTTAGTCCATTTTTGACAGATTTGAAATCTTTCCTTTGCTAGGACATTTTGGGGGCACATCCCACAGGCCCAGTCCTTACACACAGAAACTGACAACATGGTATTTATGAGCCCCTGCCACTCATGCCAATCATAAAGAGCACTTAAACAAGGAAGAGGAAGTGCAGGAGCCTGCAAACTTGGCCTCATTTCCCACTGCCAGACTTTCTAGAAAAAGATGCCATCTCTTAGCAGCGCCTTGCAGCTTCTTGCCTTACAGAAATGCCCCAGAGACCAATAGATTTTATGCACTTCCCTGAAGCAATAGATTTTAGGCAGTTCCCTACATCAATACCAAGCAGCAGTTGTATTTTTTCATCTCCTGATTGCTGTAGGCTCCTCCCTTTGTGCCAAGTGGATTGGATTGGATAGCCCCCTTCTAGGAATGAACTACCCCCAGGCCATGCATTTTTAACCCTGCAGGCCTTCAGACTGTCTGAAGGCAAAAGGAAAACATATACCCTGGAGTTCAAGAAAAATGGGAGTCAGACTCCTGGGATCTATGTTGTGTTTCTCCACTGAGTTCTCTGCTGAGGGACTGCCTTGTGGTAACTTTTCTCATGAGACACAAAGGAGTGGAGCATGGTGGTGAGATGCTTAAATAACGATGATTAGCTATTCTCCACTCTGCAGTTCACAGACATCTTAATGTTACTCTTTTACCTGGATCTCTTCTGCTGGGAAAGATACAGAGGTATTTTTTTTAATCCTTATTTTAGAGTCAAGGGCATAGGCTTAGCATGATCAGCCTTGGAGGACCTTGCATGCCCTTCACAAAGGATCCTGGCATCGCCAAGTTCAGGCACTAACTCTGTGAACTTGACCGTTCCAGTGTTATTGATGCCAGCCTGGCGTTCTGAAAAACTTTGCACCCCCATCTCCCCAGGCAGTTGCCCTCTTGGAATGGAAATAGCAATGCATAGCTTCACAAACTCTCTGAACGGAAAGGGAATTTAGAAGTCACTTCTGCCTTTTCCTGTGCCTTTTCCCTCAACAACACTCTCCCAAACATCTTCTTTAAAATCTGGCCTTTGAGGCCCAACACCCGCAGAGGTGCACTTCCACCAGCCCAAGTGGAACAGGGCCATCACACCCTTCATTCTAAATACCATGATCCTACTAATGGTCTGGGTGATTCCTGTTGAGGTAAAGGTGATTTTTGTTTTAATTTGTTTTGTTTACAAAAGGTAAATAAAAATATATACATATTTTAATATTTTTTATATAAAAATATATTTTTATGTCTGTGCTCACATGGCATGTTTGCTAATTCCAGGAGATGGATTCACCTCCAGGTCATCATTGTGGCCTCCAAAGTTCCTGGAGCCCCAGGCTGCCAAAAGAGATGGCTTGTCCAAAGAATGAATGAAGGAATGGCTAAAATTATGTTTCCTGGTAGTGCTGTACATCCTGCTCACAATGCTGCCTGTTCTGTGGCAAAGTTCTGCCATTAAATAAGTTCATTTCAAGAGCTGCCAGCTGATATCTCCAGGTACTTGAGATCAAGGCCCAAGTTACTCAAGCTGCCATGAGGAATTTTGCAATTTCTTTTTTTTTTCCCACTGCTCTGGCTCCCAGTGACACCATGTCCAGTGAGCATGATGAGCCTTCCATAAAGGCTACCATGACAGGCAGGAGTCCCTATACTTTTATTTCTGGGTTTCCAAAGGGGATTGGGTACAGGACTGCCATGGTGCTCAAGTCCCTTATATATAAAATTATGTTACAATTCTACAGAACTTAAGCATATCTTCCTATATACTTTAAAACAACTCTAGATTGCTCATAATATCTAAAACAATGTAAATGCTATGTAAACAGGTGTTATACTGCATTGTTTAGCAAATAATGACAAGAAAAGAGTCTGTGTATATTCAGCACAGATGTAATTGGTTTTTTTCATACTTTAATCCACAGTTGGTTGGATCCTTGATCAGTTGGATCTGCAGGCTCAGAATCTGTGGATCCAGAGGGCTGACTGTACTGTGCCACTTATGGAAAAATAATCAGAGGAGTCACTTTCTATTTGGGAGGTCTCTCTATGGTGGAGAGTTACCAGGGTGACCTTTCCAAGACCAAGACACACATTGGTGGTGGGCTGGATAAAGCTGAGTGGCCACCACCACACGGTGCTGGTGACCATGTCTCTACTCCAAAGGCCAAGGGTAGTCACTGGTTAAGAGAGTCTGACTTGGACCTTCCCTGAGTACTGCAGTGCCCCTGATTGCAAAGAGCTCAGGGAGGACCACTCTCCACTCCCTTAGGATGGCCCAGTCTTCTAATACCTCTGTTTATTTAAAAAAAAAAAGTCCAAGGCGGGGAGCTGGTAGGTCATAGGGCCAGAGAATCCCACTCAGGACTTTTGAAAAGCTACAGAGAAAGGATTGAGAGAGAGACCTCCCTCTGCACACAGCCACACTGGCCTGCAGTTTCTTCCTGGACTTTTTCACTTCCACATCTCAAATGCTTTGTTCCAGATTCTCAGGCACCTCACATGTGACCTCAAAATATCAGAAGACAAGACAAATAAGTTCAGTTTCCCCAGGTGGTCATGTTGAATGCTTGGGGAGGCGCAAGAGGTGGGCACCTGTGACAGGCTCACGAATTCATGAAGACCAGCCTCTTGACTCCAGCAGACAGCCCTGGCTCTGGAAATTTCTAGCATCTGCAATGACAAAAAATAAACACTCTGTCCAGTCCAGTAACTTTGAACTTGATGCCTCTTTGGCCACACTGGCTGATGTGAATAGTCTCTCCCTGACATGGTGACCTGCCCCACACCTTACCACATTGCTCAGAGATCCCCCACACTAATGCGGTGGGAAAGGATTTCAGTCAGGAGTAGGAAACGTGTGTTAGAATAAGGGCCCCACATGAGCCTCAGGGAGCTTGGGAGGCAGGAAAAACACTGAACTCGGAGGCAGCAGACCTGGACTTGCAGTTTGACTTTGCCACTTCATGGTAATTCAACCTTGGGGTAGTTACGTAACCTTTCTGAGTCTCAGCTTCCTCATTTGAAAACAGAACTATAGTTGCTTTACACATTTTACAAAGTGCCAAATACTATATATACACACTTTTTTTTCCTTCTTCTTTTCTTTCTTTTTTTTAAAATTTTTTTTTTGTACTTGGGGTTGAACCCCAGGGTGCTCTACCACTGAGCTACATTTCCAATCCTTTTTATTTTTACTCTGAGACAGGGTCTCACTAAGTTGCAGAGGCTGGCCTTGAACTTTGGATCCTTCAGCCTCAGCCTCCTAAATTTCTGGGATTACAGGCATGCACCACCACCCCTTGCTCATATCACTTTCTATCACTATGTGCCATGCTAAAATCCAACATAACCAAGGACTAGGAAGTTCTGGTTTTAGTTCTGAGTCCTCATGCATGCACAATGGAGGTCATACCATGTCCTCCCCAGCTGCCACATTAGCATGGAGTCAACCCGAAAGGGACCACATGGGTTGTGCATTGGAGGTTCTGGGTGGCTGGGATGTTCTTAGAAGACTGGAGAAGACAAATGAGTCCTAATTTAGGACTGGGTAATAGGATGCTGGTCCATCACACCTACCTTCGGGCAAGAGAATCTCAACAGGAAACTTTGCTCTTTAAATGAGTCCTGAAATTGCTTCTAGGACAATCATCATAGTAACCTCCCCTTGTCTGACCCTTTTCTCAGTATGTCCATGTTATTATGTGTCCATGGTATTAGGTGGCTTAAAGCAAGAAAAAGGAGCTGAAGAGAGGGACAAGGGCTGACCTGATGCCGTGGCACTCAGTCAGGGTAATATTCTTGCCCCTGTTACCTCTGCCACCCTGGTGTCTATATCACTCAGAACAGAAGTGATATAGGGACCATCCCAGCCTGTACCCACACCCCAGCCTCACCTCTCCTTCCCTGGGCTCAGTAAGTGGAAGGCATGAATACCCATCCCAGTGTCCTCTCTGACCTTGTGCTGTAGATCCTTAGTAGAAGCAGAAGATCCTCTGTGAGGCTCTCTCTCTCTCACCAACATCTTTAAGACTTGGTTTCTTCCTTTAAAATGGGCACTAGAGACAAATAACTTCCATGTTTCTGAGGAAGGTGAGTCTCTGGAAATAGATGCCCAATGAGTATTTTATGATATTACTAAAAAGGGAGGCTGGGTGGTCTCTTTCTAGAGGGTCTAGGTGTCCCTCTAGATACCATCAGAACCCTCATGTCATTCTCCAACCCCACAGCAGGTGTGTTCACTTCAGACATAAGTAGTGCATCTTACTCTAGTGAATGACAATGTGCCCTCACTCAATCTAATCTCTTTTTGACAGACTGTCTATGGGAAGCTTGGGAAGCTAGGGTTGTGTGGGGTAGGAGAGTGCCATGGTTTGGATCTGGAATGTCCCCCAAGAGATCATATATTGAAAGCATGGTCCCCAATGCAGTAGAAGAGGTGGGGCTTTTAGGAAATGATGGAATCATGGGACCTCTGACCTCATCAGTGGATTAATCCACTTAATGGATTAATCTATTGATGACTGAATGAACTACTGGGACGTAGTTCCTAGTTGGACGATGTAGGTCATTGGACACGTGCCCTGGAAGGATTCATCTTCTCCCCAACCCTTTTCCCTCTTTTTCCCTCTGCTTCCTGGATGTCATGAGCAGCTTTCCTTTGTAACACCCACCATGATGTTTTGCCTCACCTCAAAGGCCCAGAGCAACAGCCCACTGACAGTGGACTGAGACCTCTGAAACTGGGAGCCCCCAATAATCTTTTCCTTATCTAAGTTATTCTTTTCATGTTTTATTGGTCTCAGTGATGAAAAGCCAAAGTAGAGTATCTGAACCCCTTCCAGGAAAAGCCTCCCTTTTTGTGCCCTGGTACAAAGAGCAAACTGATGCATCTGAAGGAAAAATAAAATAAAGAAAGGCCCAGGAGCTGCTGTGAATCAGGCACTTTCCAGGAAAGGGCAAGCCTCCACTCAGCAGACTTCAACATTCCAGTCAGTCTAACACCACCTTCCTCCTTGCTCAACAGCCAAGACCAATAACTACTCATTCATCTACGATTCACACACTTGATGGATTCCAGGTACACCCAGCAATATTTCAATCATGATTTGACTTCCCACTGAGCTCCTCCCCTGCAGGGGGAGATGTGCACAGAAAGCAATCATGAGTATTTTAGCTCTGGCACAATAAGGGCGCTCACTATGCATTAATTAATGAATTTGCATTTTCATCTAGACACCAGGAAGCTAGACTGTAATTGGTGGAGGTGGGCATTCTCAGGAGATGGCTGCACTGGAAATCAGGTGTCTGAACTTGCAAGGAGACCTTAGTAAATACTCTAAGTTAAGTCATCTTTTGGGGCAAACAGCCAACTTGACCCCTATGGAGACACCTGGTCATCAATCATCATTAACTGTGTCACCACTCTAGATGAGCTAATATAACTATTTATTTGTCTACTACTGCATGGTGTAAGCATCCTTGTGGGGGCAGGGTGTGAACTTATTCATCACTGCAGGTCCAGAATCTACGCAAAAGCCTATTACATAATAAGGGGTCAACAAATGTTTGTAGGATGGACAATTTAAAAATGAATAAATGGCTTCAGTGTAAAAATGGTAAATAAAAGAAATGCTTCTACTTTCACTCTCATCTGAAATTCCAATAAAATGGCAGCTGTAAAAATGCATTAACCTTCAAGGATTAAAAAGGTCTGGAGAGCTGACAATGACATTTTTAAAAACATATAACATTCTACTTTCCATCACTATAACACATGCCTGAGATAATAAACTTATAAAGATAAAAGGTTTATTTTGGCTAACAGTTTTGGAGGTTCCAGTCCATGATAAATTTGCCCTGTGGTTTTGGAGCCTGGGATGAGGCAGTACATCATGGTAAAGGCACATGACAGGGTAAAGCCATCTGCCTCATGGCCAGGAAGCAAAAGAGAGGAGGAGAAAGCAGGGTGAGGTCCCATAGTCCCCTTCAAGGGCATACCCCCAAGACATGAAGACCTCCTGCTAGACCCCATCTCTTAAAACTTGCACCAACTCCCAGAAGCAGCAAAGTGGGGATGAACCCTTTAACACATGGGTCTTTGGAGACATTCCAGATCCAACTATATCATTCAGAAAAAACAAAAAAGTACCACTGACCCTTCAGAATCCCCAAAGATACAGATGTCTATGGTACTGTCTACCTGTTGAAGAGGGAGGAGATCAAAAGAGCTGTACCTGAGGAATCCAACATCAAGAGGTCCAGCATCAAGCAGGTCCAGCATCAAAAGGTCCTGTGATGAGCTGGCTTGTCAGAGCATCCTCCGGGGAGCCTGACAGGTGTCAGGTCCCTTCTACAGGCCCAGAGCTTCCTCTCACTAAGTTACTAGATAACTGAGGAAAATCAGAACAAAAACAAACTGACACAAAAAAACCATCTTGGGGGAAACAGAAACTGTTCAAGGAAGAAAAAAAACTTCAAATAGAAGGTATCCTACTTTTTTTTTTAAAAAAAGAACTTCCTGACAATAAAAAATGGAAAGTTCTTGGAAGTTAAAATATGATGGTAAAAACAAAAATCTCAAAGGAAAGTGTTGGAAGAGAGAGTTGAGACATGGAGCAAAAATACAAAGAGATGGAAAGTAGAAGCTAAAGGATAAGAAAAATGAGAGTTTTCTGTGTAGCTCAGCTATGAATAGAATTTTATGGACATTGATAATATTCAAATTGAGTATTCAACCAACATTGTGAAATAATTCCAGTGCAGAAGGAGAAGGGCGAAGGGCACAGGTGTGTGGTCAGGACAACCAGGGAGAAAAGAGAGCTAAGCTTCCACCTTCAATAATGAAAAAGTAATAGGCCTTAAAATGGAAGTACGTAGAATTACTGTGTGTTGTTTAGAGATATGCAGCAAAACCCGGGGGAACCAGTGGCCAAAAGAAAGAGGTGGTTTCTGGAGACTGGGAGATTGAGGAAGAGGCCTGACTCTTTTCATTTCAAACTACTTATAACAACGTGATGCTTCAAATACATGCACGTATTACTTTAATAAAACCAAAGAACACGAAAGAATGGAAAATATAGGCTTTCTACTTAGTGTAGAATTTTTTCCAAC